TCCCCATTTTTTTGGCAGAATTGGTCCCTGTATTATTGTTGGAAGTTAGGAATACTAAATTTGGATGTTTTTTGGCAACTTTGCTCATTATTCTTTACTCATTTTGACACTTTTGGTCCTTGCAATCAATATTTTTACACTTTTTTGGAACCTTTTAATATTTAAAGTTCGGCCACAAAACTTTAACGGTCTGACAACTTTGATCCCTTTTCTAAAAAGTTGCTAATTCCTACCCCTTTAATTCTTTAGCCATTTTCACACTTCTGGTCCTTGCAGTCAAAACTTTTACATTTTTTGTCCGGGGCAAAGCCCGGACTTTTCATCCTTGCACTTTCTATGTCTGTCATATTTATCAATTCGGAAACAACATTGAAAGCTTCTGGCCCCCGCGTAGCGGGGGTAACCTTTCTAGTTCTAATAAATAAGAGCAATTTTGCCACGTGACATTCAACTAGCCCCTCCCTATCGATTTATCCGGCTCAAAATACCAAAGTGAATTTCCACAAATACCCTTCTGCTGGAAATCATCGACGATCAGTTCCAAATTTGATAGCAAAAAATCAGGAATTCCATAGCAAGAACTCAGTCATATCCAAACTTAATCACCAATTCTTGAAGGTAGATTCTCTCTTAAACCCTAATCCTCTTCCCTCTCCATCAATGATTCGTTGCAAGAAACGGCGTTCGAAACACTACATCCAGGTAATTAGCCTTTGATTTCGGATTTGAACTAAGCTACAATCGATTGGGTGTAATTTCTTTTCTGTAATTGGAGTCGCGGTTGACTTTCTGAAAGGAAACTCTGCCTCGCCGATTACTTTCGCTTCACATTCCTCAAATGGTTGTTGTCTTCGTCACAGCCTGGTAAGCCTGATTTCTCTGAAAATCAGTTTAGAGTTTGAATTTCTTCTCCTCCACCTCCGTTTCCATCTTCTGAAGAACATCAAATCACTTTAATGTTAAGAATCATTGATTATTTCTTTAATTTTTAGGATAATATAAAAGAAATCATTTATCAGGTCCATCATCATTTTTGCCCAGGTTCGTTTGCTTCAATCTCTATTTTGGTATTCCATCTTTTTTTTATTTATGAAATAACAATCTTTTTGTGAAATTCATTCATTCTAGGGTAAGTATGAGTATTTGTAGATAATTGTGTATTCTAGGTGTATTTGAATCGTCCTGTGCTTTTACAAATAACAGGGTGGTTTTTATGTTGCAGGTGCGAAGGCATTTCCACGAACTCTGGAAACCATTGTGAGTTTAAAAATTTGAGTATAATTATTATTCATCTTCTTCCAATTTACACTAAACTATATATGATGAATATATTAATTTTGCTTGATGAAACTTTTAGTTTTTAAGTTTGTAGGTTAACTGTTTGATGAAATGTCTAAGTCAATTGCAACTGCTTTATTTTGAATAACTAATAAATAAGTTGTTGATTGCATGCTCTATCTCAGCTTAACATTGAGAGAACTCCAACCCAGGTGCCAATTTTTACCATTTTACAGATTAAACAATTCAAATTTATAAAGTGATTAAACCATCTTACCATAAATAGTTATTACTTGGATACCTGATTTAATTTGATCACAGGGCAAAAATATAGAAAATGACAACTTATTTTTACCATTTTATTGATTTAGCCACTGAACAATAATAATAATAATAATAATAATAATAATAATAATAATAAGAGAAAAATAAATTATTGTAAACAGTAAAAAAAAGTATAATGGCTTAATATTTTCTTTTACAATGGTTTGTTTTCAACTTTTTACTAATGTATCAGTTTTCATCATAAACTTTTTTTTGATAATATTAATTTGGGTCCAAAGGATTTCATTATTTGTCATTATCAAAGGGTATTTTGGGCATTTGTGATAGACATATAAAGTTGTAATTTTCTTACAAATTTATAACATTAACGACTTGATGGGCCATTTGGTAACATACATCTATGGAAATTTGCATCTTTCTTCATCAAAATCTGCAAATATTGTCACAAACTTCACGAGTTCTCGCAATCTGCTTGCTTTTGCTCCAGCATACTCATAGCAGGTGCTAAATTTGGCCGTTTCTTAGCCATCCTTATCTTTTCATCTATTTGTGCTTTGGTAACTTTCTTTCTACACCTAATCACACAAATTTATATTGATTTCATTTATTAATTCGGTAAATAATAAGCATACATAGGGGTTGCTTCTTCTTTTTGTCTGTTAAGCCATCTATGGTAAATGTGGTTGACTGAAACTAAATGACCATTTTACCTTTACATTCCATTAAGGTCATTAAGTACAAAAGAAACAGAGTCTAACATGTTGAATTGAATTTGAACCAGGGTGATGTTAATGACACTAGCAAAATTCGAATTTTGTTAAAGGGATGTTTGTGGTTCTAAGGTTATCAGAAGGAGGATAAGTGGTTTTTGGACGCTCTGTTGGTATTGGTTCAATAATCTGATGAGATATTAGATTGAAGAATCCTATGGATTATGTTTCTTGCATTATTAAATTCAGAAGGAAGATCATTAATTTCTAAATTTCAAATAAAGGGTGATTTGGTCTTTTTTTGGTGGATATAAATTTCTATAGTGTTAAAGTTGATTTTATGGTTCTGGGTTATTTTCACTGGAAAAAGAAAAATAAGAGGGGATGTTTAGAAAGGAATTTGAAGTCTTGGTGTAATAATTTGGAAAAAGGGCATTTTAGTCTTTTTTTGAATTTTGGCATATGCGACAATTCTCTGGTTAGTCTGGATATTCGATTTTATGCTAGACAGGTGGGGCTTCGGATTTGATTTGAAGTCTTTTGAGTCTGGACCGTCCGGTGCAATAATAAGTTTTGAGAGTACTTTAGTCCTTTTTCTAGATTTTTACAAGAATGTGCTTTTTTCTGTGATAGCAAATGAAGTTTCAAGGCCTATGTGGTTATCGAATCAATTGCAATTGGATTCAGGGGATTTGCAACCTTTATTATATCAAAAGATCTTGGGAGTATTTTCGGTATTTTGTTAATAAAAAAGAACTGACTGGAATTTTTTTATCGATTCTAATCCTTGCTATTTTGATTTTACTCATTATTATTACAGTAGTTGTTGGTGGTGTGCTCAAGCCATGGGAAATTGTCTTTGCATACATACAACACCCATTCAGATTTCAATGTGACTCGTTCTTGTGTAAATGGAGAGCATTTTTTTTTCCAATTGTTGACTTAATGTGGTCTTTGAATGTGTTTGACTGTATTTGTTCATCTGGAATTCACATTTTCTTCATTTCATGTTCTATTTGTTCATTTATACATTGTGTTTGTTTCATAAAAGTTGTTTTTATGGTGAGAAGAAATGAAAATATGTTTCTGTATCCAGTTTCCTATATGTATTTTCTATAAGAAATAGAAAACTTATAGAATACAAGATTATAGAGGTGATAAGATTCGATTAAAATTGATGTATTTAAAAAAAATAAATCAAATGTATGTCTATTAAAAAAGCTGCTAGAAGATGTATGTAACTAATAAAAAAGTACATTTTTGTCGTAATAAAACTCATAATCATATAAACAGCTTCCACAACTATTTATTATCTATGCTAAAACTTTTATTTTTGTAAATCAATAAATCTTTTGCAAATATTCGATTAGTCGACTTCGAATTATGAATACTGTATTTTATTTCTTCGATAGTGACTTCGAATTATGAATACTTACAAATTACAAAGTTATTAAAAAAATACAATATTACTATTCATAAGTTTTTCTAAATTAATGATATATTATTTTATTACATAATCAATTTTTTAATTCTATTTAAAATTAACTCCCGTGGGTTCCACGGGTTTTAACCTATTTTATCTTATATACGAAATGTTAATTTCCACTTGGAGACTTCTGTAGGAAATCGAAGTTAGATTTTTTATGTATTAGTGATATAGTTGGAAGAGGAAGGAGTCATCATGGGAGGAAGGTAGACGCTTTATTTTCTTTATTGTTTACTTTTGGTTGAGTTACGACAGGATGGGTGGAATTCTTCATCTGATTATTATGGGGTTTTTCTTACCGATAAATAAATCAAAGTTCTTAATTATCTTTTCAGCTTGGATGGCTAAATTGTTAACCGGATAAAGATCGGTGTGAAAACAATGACAAAAAAATATCCTGCTGTAGAGCTATAGAGTGTACCAAATCGATGCACGAGGCACTATTAGGTGAAGATTAGTACACAATTCTTTCTTTTCATAACCACGATACTTCATATTTTTTTACACCAGAAGAGATTTGTGTTTTGCTCTGAGATTTTACCCGATTGTGCGCTTTACAACTCTTTTGAATATAAAGAACATAACCAAGGATAATCCTTATTCATTCGGATCAAACAAATCACCAAATCACCACCAGACCTATCTGCTTTTTAAAACTACCCCTTCCAAGAATCCGTTTTATTATATCCAAATATAACCGTAAAAGGGAGGATTCTTTCAAATCACCACCAGACCTATCCGCTTTTAAAAACTACCACTTTCAATAATTTGTTACATTATTTCAAAATATAACTGAAAAAGGGAGGATTCTTTTTTTCTAAATTTATAAAGAACATGACAATCCGAAAACGAAGTTGTAAATTTGTGAAAGTCAATTCCTACCCACTTGGTACAACTTTAAAACTCATGGGAAATTATTGAAAAAAAAAACAACATACTTTTTTACTAAGAAAGGTAACACTATATAACATTAAAAACTCGAGGACGATATTTGCTAAGGCAAAAAATGTTTGCGACAAAAATTGTTATATCAGCAAGCAAACTGAGGGCTTCATGACCTATAATTGCATTGTACTCATATTTTTTTTCCAATATTAATAACATACTTACCACAATGTTTAAAGAATTTACTAAGAAAGGTAACACGATAGGCTCCGGTGATTTCAGACTTTTTCAAATCTTCCGATCTCCAACAATTCACCGGCTGGATCAAACGCCGTTGAAATCACGTCTTCATTAAGATGGGCGATAACATCTGGACGAAAGTCAATCACAGGAACGTGCATGGAAACCGTAGGGTTCAACATATTAGCTATGATTTAAAAAACAGTCAAGTAAGGTTAGATATAACCTCCCTCTTTATCACCAATTTTCTTGATTCTGTTCAAGTTGGAGACATACGGCGGGTTTGTGGTCGAGCCTGTAATCGTTTGGGTAAGATAGTAGATGTGTTTATTGCAAAAAAACTATCAAGATTGGGGAAACGGTTTGGTTTCATTAGGTTTTCAGGTGTTGGCAATTGTGATTATCTGATTAAACAACTTTGTGATGTTTGGTTTGGTTCATATAAAATGTTTGCCCCCTTTCCCCGTTCCTTGAAAAACAATTTTTGTAAACCCCAAACCGTTGTTAATTCCATAGTGGTACATCGAGACGTGAGTGTTAAGTCTTATGCGAATGTGGTTCGAGGCTCAATCAATGATACTACCAACAGTAAAAACGTGGAGGAGATTATTGATCTTACTTCTGGAGATTTCATAGTAGAAAGAAAACAAAGGGCATGCCTCGTTAAGGCAAGAGACTTCTCTACCCTTCCTAATCTCCGGGTGCTCTGTTTGGATGAAGGCTTTGATAATTTTGAAATGAGATATGTGGGATGTTTGTGGGTGTTGATTGAATTTACTTCCACTAATGCATGTAAAAACTTTATGGGTAGTAATGCAATAGATCATTGGATATTAGAAAAGAGAGTATGGGATCGATACTTTGTTCGATCAGAACGGATAGTGTGGGTTGATGTTGAAGGATTACCTCTTTCTGCTTGGAGTAAAGAGTCTTTCAGAAAAAATCTTTCTAAGTGGGGAACAATTGCATAGTTAGATGATGACCTTGGGGAAGATATATACAAGAACAAGATTTGTATCATGTCATCTATCCAAAGTATTATTTTAGAGGTGATCAAAGTTTGTGTTGATGGGGCTACATACTGGATTAGAGTTAAAGAAGCTCCAGGGTGGACTCTCTCCTTTGTTCATGATCTTCCTGCACCTGATCTGGACGAAACTGAATTACAAGACCATGATCAAAATGAAGGACATTCTCATTATTTTGATAGGAATAAGGATGTATCATCGGACCCGTTTGGTATCTATGATGCAATTGAAAAAATGAAAATGGATGAGGTAAACAATGATATTCCAAAAGGATTTAACAGTTGGGGTAATGCAAAAAGAACAAAAATATTAAAGGACTCCAGGGGCAAAATGGGAATTCAGCAACATAAATTTTTTTTACCCTTCTCCTCAAACTCATAACCCGGGAGCTGAAGGAAATGCCTCAAATTTTCCTAATGCTTCACACTCAAACTCATCCACCGCTCCTGGTGTGGCTGTCAATATTCCGCCTGCCGCTGCCACTATTCAGGCTGCTGCCACTGTTCCGGTAGATGCTGAAGGTAAACCGCAAGCAGCCCCTGCTGCTTCAGCTAACTCGACAGCAGTCCCTGCTGTGTCTTCTGAGAATTCTTTAGCACATGCTGCTGATTTCGGGCCATTTCTAATTGGGATGGAACCTTCTAATAAACCTGCACCGGTTGGTTTTTCGGGTGGTTATATTCATATATCGGGCATTCAATCTACGGATGATTCTTTATCTCATCCGCCTGGTTTCTCAAATTCATGGAGAGAAAGAAGTGTTCTCAGAAGGTTAGTTCAACATTGAGTCTAATGTGGTAGAATCTAATAAAACAATTGCAATGGGAGGGATCGTTGGTTTCAATATGAATGGTTGTTCTGGACAAGTTAAAAATTTTGTTCAAGGGGAGTGATTTAAAGAAATTTAGATATGAACTGTTTATCTATCAATATTCAAGGAACGGGTTCATTAAAGAAACAGGTTTGGATAAATGCTCTTTGGGCAAAATTTAAGATTATTTTTTTGGCTATTCAAGAAACAAAAAAGGAGCTTATTGACCTTTTTTCTTGTTCGTTCTTTTTGGGGTAATCTTGCATTTTCTCATGCTTTTTCTCCTTCTCGTGGTGCTTCGGGAGGTATTTTGGTTATTTGGGACCCAAACCTTTTTATTCATAATAAATGAATCATCTCTGATTGGTATGTGGCGGTGGAGGGGGTTTGGGTTGTCTCTGGAATGGATGTCTTGTTGATTTCCGCCTATGCTCCCCAAAGAGACGATTGCAAAAGACAACTTTGGAACGAAATTTCTATCTTGATGGCTTCTTTCTCGGGAGAATGCGTGGTCATGGGAGATTTCAATGAAGTCAGAGATGAGTCTGAGAGACTTGGTTCTCAGTTCCAACATATTCCCGCTAGAACTTTTAATCAGTTTATTGATCAGGCTGAGTTAGTTGATATTCCTATGGGTGGGCCTCGTTATACTTGGAGTGATAGATGAGGATCCAAGTTTTCTAAACTTGATCGTTTTCTGGTTTCTGAAGATCTTTGTTGCGTTTTCCTCATCTTACGGGTTTGGTTCTGGACAAAAATATCCCAGACCATCGCCCTATTGTTTTATTGGAACATCGTATGGATTATGGTCCGTCTCCTTTTCGTTTATTTCATCCTTGGTTCGAGCTGGAAGGTTTTGATGAAGTGGTTCGTAATTCGTCGAATTCAACTGTTTTTGGGAATATGATTGATAATCATTGGGTTATTTTTAAGAAGAAGCTTCAACTTCTTAAATCTAACTTAAGATTATGGAATTCTAGTGCTCGAGATCGTTTGATTAGTAAAAGGAAAACATTACAAGATAGAGGAGAGTTTCGGCTATTAAAGAGTTTCTCTTATGCTTGATGGGGGTAGTGCTGACTTTCGTGAACAGAGAGTTTCGGCTATTAAAGAATTTACGGACTTGGATCGTCTTTATAGAGGAGAGTTAGCGCAGAAAGCGAAAGTTCAGTGGGCCATTAAAGGGGATGAGAATTATGGTTTTTTCCATGGTATTATTAATCAGAAGAGGCGACAAATTGCTATCAGAGGTGTCATGATAGATGGTGTTTGGGTGGATGAACCAGGGAGGGTTAAGCAGGAGTTCCAACTTTATTATAAAAAAAACTTTTCTTGAGGAAAAGAGGAAGACGCAGGAAGACACCCTTCTACTGATCCTAATCTCTTTCATACTCTCATGGAGGATCAAGTTCTTTTTCTTTAAGATCCTTTCTCTCAATAAGAAATAAAAAGGGAAGTTTGGGATTATGGTTCAGATAGGGCTCCTGGGCCGGATGGTTTCTCTTTTGGTTTCTTGAAAAGATTTTGGGATCTTATTTCTGATGATTTGGTGGCTTTCATTTAACATTTTCATGGTCATTGCTCGGTTCCAAAAGGTTGCAACGCTTCTTTCTTTACGGTTATCCCTAAAGTTCGAGACCCTAAGACTATTAGAGATTTTATACCTATTAGTCTAATAGGCTGCCAATAAAAAATTATTGGTAAATTATTAGCTAATAGGTTGGCGAAGGTTATTGGTTCTATTGTTAGTTTGGAGCAGTCTGCCTTTGTTAAAGGTAGACAAATTTTGGATGTTCCTTTTCTTCTTAATGAGGTGGTTGCTTAGAGTAAGTCTTCGAATCATCCACTTATGATTTTTAAAGTGGATTTTGAGAAGGCTTTTGATTCTGTCTTGTGGGAGTACCTATTGGAGATTATGTAGATTATGGGCTTTGGTAAGTTGTGGTGTGATTGGATTATGGAGCTTCTCAGATCTTCTAGGGCTTCTATTCTAGTTAATGGGTCCCCTTCTGATGAATTCCAAATCCACCGAGGCTTGAGACAAGGCGATCCCTTGTCCCCTTTTTTGTTTATTCTGGTGATGGAAGGGCTCCATGTAGCTTTGCTTAAAGCTCATACCGAAAATGTGTTTCGAGGCATTTCTATTAGTGGGGTTGATATCTCACACTTGTTTTATGCTGATGATGTTGTCTTGATGTCTAAATAGAACCCATAAAATGTTTCCAGTATCATTCGTATCCTACGGTGTTTTTACTTAGCTTCGGGCTCAAAATCATTTACAAAAAAGTAAATGGATTGGAGTGGGAGTTCCTTTTGCTCAGGTTGAGGTGGCAGCTCATAAGGTTGGGTGTGCTCCAGATTCTTGTCCTTTTATTCATCTTGGAGTCCTAGTTGATCAGAAAATGTCTTAGATTTCTTCTTGGTCTTCTGTTGTTGATCGTTTTTGCTCAAAACTCTCGGGTTGGAAAGTGAAATGCCTTTCGTCTGGAGGTCGTCTTTCTTTGATCAAGTCAGTTCTTGGAAGCCTCGGTAGTTACCTGATGTCTATCTTCATGGTTCCGATCTCTGTTGTTAACATCTTGGAGTCTCTTCGGGCCAGGTTCTTTTGGGTTGCTGACTTAGATGAGAGATGCATGCATTGGGTGCGCTGGGATAGAGTCTTAGCTCAAAAAAAGGAAGGGGGCTTGGTATTGACAGTTCGTTTTCCTTCAATCGGGCTTTACTTTTTAGATGGTGTTGGAGATTCTTTCATAATCCGGATTTGATATGGGTTAAAGTCGTCAATGCTCTTTATGGATCTGATGGTGGTTACAACTCTCTTTCTCAGAGGAGAGGGTTGATTGGTCCTTGGAATGGTGTTATTCGAATGTTGGTCCAACTTAAAAATCGTGGTCTTGATCTCCAGCCTTTTTGTCCTATTAGGATTGGTGATGGGAATATGACTTCTTTCTGGCATGATGTGTGGAAGGGGGATGCCCCCTGGCTACTTCTTTTCATAGGATTTTTGCTCTCGATCCTCATAAATCTCCGTCGGTCTGTGATAGAGTGCTTCTTGGATGTGATTCTGTTTTTCTCAGGCGGGCTCCTAGAGGGGGCATTGAGGAGACTCAGTGGGTTGCTTTTACTTCCTTGATGTTGGATATTCTTCTTCATTCTATCCCGGACCGTTTGGGGTGGACTATTGATGTTTCTGATTCCTTTACTGTTTCTTCACTCAGAGCTTTTTTGGATAGTCATATGTTGTATTCGAGGGGTTTTGAAACTCGTTGGAATAATTGGGTGCCAATCAAGGTGAATATCTTTATTCGGAGATTGCAGTTATGAAGTATTCCTACTAGAGAGAATCTTTCTCTCCGTGGGATTACTATGGATTTGATTCTTTGTCCCATTTGTTCCAATACCGTTAAATCTATTGATCACCTTTTTGCCGGTTGTAATTAGTTGATAGAGATATGGACTCGTGTTGCTATTTGGTGGGGCGTCGAAACTCCTCATCTTTGCTCTATTGATCAACTCCTTTCGTGGTCTGATTCTATTTCCTTAAAAAGAGGGCAAAGTCAAGCCTTTGATGCGGTCCTTTTGACTACGTTCGGGTGTTTATGGAATTTTCATAATTCCCCCATTTTTGGAACGACTCAACCTAGGAAATATTTTATTTTTGATGAGGTGATAGATAGATATTTTTTTTGGATTTCCAATAGGTGTAGAAAAGCTAAAATTGGTTGGACCTCTTGGTTACATAATCCTCTTTTAGCTTGTAATTTGTTGTGATGACTTTCTTTTTCTAGTTTCATGATAGTTTTCTAATAAAATTTCTGCCGTTCTAAAAAAAAGGTAACACGATACTTTTTTTTAATAGCACCATACTTGCGATAATGGTTTAAATACGTTACCAACAAGATCTGCTTCAGCTTCTCAACTTGTCAAATTTTTATAAAAGTTCTTGGTTAGATTTTAGGTTGCAAAATCTAACTTTAAAAAGTCAAAAGTCAAAGTGTATCTCTAATTGTTAAAATTAAGAGGGAGTTATACAATTTTTTAATTTTATTTTTTATTGCATTACTTCTAGACTTTTCCTTTTAAATTAACATATAATTTTTAAATTATCAATGATTTTATACATTTGTAACTACATGTCTAACAAAAAAGATTTATCAAATATACATAAATACCACATTTCTTACTTTTAACACAAATGTTACATTAACATTTTTATAAATCCTACATGCACAATATCGTACTTATCATTCAAAATTTTCAATTGAAATTCATACTTGTAAATCATCATGAAAAGTTGAAAACATTATCTTTTCACATCATTATCTTTCCACATTTGCACCCTCATTATTTGTTGCATACTCATTTTGGTTTGACAATATTTCCAGCTTACAACCCTTAAGAAGTTTCTATCCACGATCACAGTGCCTTATGTGGTTTTTGGTTGGTTTGCAATGATAAGTTCAAACCTGAAACTGTGTTTTATGTTAAACTGCCAAACAAATGGTGAAGGTAAAACGGGCCATTCTTGTATTGATTCGGATCAGAAAAGATAAGTGCCACCCCTTTAAAGGTAACATTGTTTTCTTTATTTGTTAGACCGGAGGGTGTGGGAGGAAAGCTTCCCTTATTTTTGGTGGGCCATACCCCTTTTTCCCTCACTTTCCTTTCCCTCATCTAAAAGCCAAGGAATGGGTGGGAAACCCTTCCCTCACTTTTTTTTTTTATATTAAATAAAATAATTTTTTTTTGATTTATAATTTTTAAATTAATATCAAACATAAAATTTAATTAAAAATAAAAAGCATTTCATTAATTAAAATAAAAATTACATTAACCCTAATATTTAAATAAGTAGAAAAATAAAAAAAAACCGCAAAAAAAAAAAATTCAAACAACCTACAACATAGAAAACATAATTAATATCCTAATTTTATTTAAACCAAAATACGTCACTCGGAATCATCGTCTTCGTCATC